GTTTTGGGCGTTCCGGTTTAAGACAATCTGGATTTAAGGCAGTTCCAGGTTTAAGGTTATTGCTGCTGGGAATAGGGCGTATCCTGCTGCCTGAGTTCCCGTTGAGTTCTCGTGGAATTTGGAATTGAGAAAGTATTTTGGGACGTGAATTTGGCGGCAGAACTTGGATTTCCCCAGGATGTGTTTGTATAGGGCCGGTGTGAGTTCGGGAATAAAGAATTGCTGTTTGAATCTACAAAGCTGTGAGTGGCTCGTGATCTTGTGCCCAGCCAAGACTGCGGCAGAATGTATCTTCTTATTTAATCCTTGAAATAATTTTGTGAGATTCCTAATAGATCCCTCATTTTATGGGTGAGTGTATGTGTGCTGAAGAAACACAAATATTCTTTATCATCCATCCATCCATCCGTCTATCCAGCCATCCATCTAGCTGTCCTTCTGCCCATCCCTCTACCTGGCAAACACATACCAAACACTGCATATACCAAGAAATTGTCACTTTCGGTGACAAGAAACTCAGTACCCCAAGAGGCAACCTGCTACACTTTGGACAACTCTAATTCATAGAAAGGTCTTCCTCATACTCATATAAAGTTCGATCTGTATAACAAACCAATTGGTCACTGTGGTGTCCTTGTGTCACACAGAATGAGATAGGAGGAAATAACCGATGTCGGAAGTTTACCAGAGTCAGCAACCACTTTCTGTTCCTGATTTGAGCTCAGTGAAGTTTTCTATACTTAAGAACTTTCATGGTTTTCATGGCAAATCTCATTCTTTGGGGACAGTAGATGGCTAAATCTCATTAACCCACAAAGAGTGACACACAGCCTGCCCTCCAAATAGTTTTGAAAGGCCGTTGATAGTTTGGAGGTACTGTCAGAGGACAATAAATGTGCCACCCACATAAAAGTAAGTCTATGTAATGCCAGAACATAAATAGCAAGAATAGTTCCATGGTACCAGGAAGTCCAGGGATACCGAGGCAGTGAGGAACCCCATTTGAGAGCCTCCCTGACTTGTCCTCTCCTGGAAGCATCTTACGGATGGCATCTTATGGTGGCCAAAGTCCTAGCAGACCTTATTTTTCCCACCTTAAGTGAGGAATTCAAATACAAAAAGGAGATCGTGGTCAAGGTCAGGTCGAAGAGGCTCTGGGAGGTGTGAAGCTGAGAATCATGGCAGCGGCAGCTGAAGATCACCGTGTCTCACATCACAGATCCTACTGTCTACTGGTCTGCAAAAGCCCAGCTCTGTAGCTGGCAGCTATTCTACCCTAGAGAGCCCAGGTAAAGAAGATAATCTCTGTTAACAGGTTTTCCTTCTAAGCCTTTGGGAGAAATCCATTTTTTTTCAGTCTTCGGCCCTCAACTTATTAGAATTTCCATCATTATATCCAGACTTCAGCATGATTAAGAAGATTGTTATTGCAGCCAATGTGACATTCTTTCTGTAATAGCATAACAATAGTTAACACTGACCAAGCATTTATATGCCAAGCACTGCACATGTAACTGTTTTAATTGTTTGTCACAACGGCCTTGAATTTGCTAAACATTTAATTTACCAGATGATCAAACTGAGGCAGAGATATTGAGTACCACATGGAGGCTAGTAATTACATGGCAGAACTGGATCTTGAACCCAAATCTGATTCCACCACTAAGCCATGCTTTCAAGAAAATAATGCATGTAAGAATTAACCTTCCATCAGGTACCATTTACATACTGCAATTCATTTCATCTTTGCAATAACCCTATTTTGCTGCTGAGATAAAGCAGGTTAGTGAACTTGTTCTAGCTGGGGATGGTAGCTCAGTGTAGAGCAATTGTCTATCATGAGCAGGTGGCCCTGGTTGGATCCTCAGCACCTAACCTGTCCCAGAGCACACAGGCAGCATGTGTTGAGACTGGGTTTTGAGCCCAGGTGATCTGACATACCAGGTCATTATTCTAGAGCAGAAACGTTTCTCCACCTAGAATTTGGATGAGTACGATTCCTATTTCCTAGCCAGGCATTGCCCCCCCAGCTCCAGTCAGTCTGACCCACTTGCCTGGATGGGAAGCCCACCTGGCATCTGTTGTAAGGACCAACAGGGCTGTGAAGCACCTCATCTTGGCATCCTTTTTTGGGGAAAGATGTAGACAAGGAAACTGATGGTCAGGGAAGTCAAGGTTCTTCCCCAGAGTCTCCTGAGCAAGATAGAAGTACGTTCAAGATTAGAAGCCACTGTCCTTGGTCCACTACCCCCTGGCTCTTGAAAGATGGAAACCTGTATTATTCTTTCTGATAGGGTGAGACCAGGAGAAACTCCCAGGGCCCTGAGAACACCCCTGTTCCTATGCAACAACTCAAGGTCACTGAAGGTCACAGGATATTCCACTAAGGGGCACCTAGATCCAATGGACCCTGGAACCTTTGTTACACAATACAGTGCAGGCTTCAGCCCTGCTGTCTGTCCTCTCTGGCTGCCATCGGCTCATGCAGCCCGGGTAAAGGGTGTTTATCTGCAAGATTGGAGGCGATCAAGTGCCCAGTTCAAGCTGGAGATAGCACAATTGAAAGCAAACAGGGCTCCCTGCCAAGTCAGATTACAGCAAATGACAGTGGCACATTTCCCCCTGAAGGCCTGTAGGGAGCCCATATTTTGTGTGTCTGTTGTGAGAGCTGTGAGGTGGGGAAAGGAAGGAGTAACTAACTTCCCCAAAGCTTTGCCTAGGAGACTGGGAGACACTGGTGCCTGGCTCCTTTCAGGACATCCTGTAGGCACTCACCTCCACCTGGCTTATTTCTCCAAACTATTCACATTGGAGTTAACTACTTCCAATTAATGACAATGACAAGAACCACCAGGGTTCCTAACAATTGCAACCACAGGAGATCTTTTAGCACAGTAACCTGGACCATCTCCACACACTCAGGAGAGTTCCTTCAGGAAAGATGGACCCACCTTTATTTGGCACTGGCTCAGCCCCAAGCACTGGTTGCTCTAAGCTCCTCATATTTTAATTACCTTCTTTACTTCCCCTGACTACAGTATATACAAGGGATTTTTCTCTCTTGTCTTATTGAGGAAGAAACTGAAGGTCAGAGAAGTAATTTGCTCAGAGATATCAGAGGAAGAGATTTTTCTATCAGGGTTTATGTTCCTTGATCTAAGGGATAGAGTTAATATAGGAGATTTGGACAGAGCTCAGGTATGAGTTTTCCAACAAACTAGCTACACTGTAGATGTTCTGACTCTGAATTTCATTCTCTCATTTTTTTCCCTTTCTCCTATCAGGGGGCATAAGGTCCCTGGCTTTGATCTTTAGTAGCCAGAGATGCTGACGTAGAATGATGAGATGATGTGTTTAATCATAAGTTAACTATTGTGAAAAGAACTAATCAACCATGGTAAACCAGAGGGAATACAAGGTTGTGGAGAGATTCAGGACTTTCCACACACATTTTTAACCAGAAGATACAAGACTCAGATCTTTTTCTTTCTACTGACAAAGCTCTGAATCAAGTAAGAACATTATTAAGGTACAAGCAGCAGTCTCCACCCAACACACAAGTTCAAGGCCCAGAGGTCAGTGAAAAAAAGCAATCTGAGAGGCTGGGGTTGTGGCTAGTGACAGAGTGCTTGCCTAGCATGTGTGAGGCACTGGGTTCGATTCTCAGCACCATATACAAATAAAGAAAGTTATTATGTCCATCTACAACTAAAACATATTAAAAAAATAAAAATAAATAAAAAACAAAAAAAAATGTGAGCTTCCTAGGAGTAGGAGAGAAATTGGCAACAAGAGCGGGGCAGATTCTTAGTGGTAAGAAGCAACTGTCTGCCTAAGATGAAGATTTCTTAACTTGTTCCAATTCATGCTCTTGGAAAACTTTATATGTAATTCAAATTTCTGGGTGGATAAATAGTAGGTAGTATAATTCCTAATAGATTTTTCCCCTTTGCAAGCCTACTTATTAACTTAAATCTCAGAAAAACGGCCCGTGAAGGAATCCGGAATGAAGAGCTTCACAGGTTATTTCATTCCCCAGGTTTCCCAGCTCACCCCAGTAGGGAGCTGGGTTTGGAGATGGTTTCTTGGCTTTCACTAACAACAGTGTGGAGTTGTCAAGGGCTGTCCAGAGCAAAAGGAGTCCAGGCCATGTGATCAGGAGGAAGAAAACAAAAATGGATCCTAGCGATACAATTACTTTGAAAAAGTCAGGCTCTGGCAAAACAAATCTCCTCTATGTATTTCCTATTAAAAGAAAAAGAGAAAAAGCAAAAGTGTTCCCCAAAATTAAAAATTAGAATGGAAGCTGTTACATCTTTGTGGCCTTGAAGGGATAATCTTTATTTTAACCAAAGGTCAACAGACAGCCAATCTGAGTCTGAGGGTAAAGATTCTGATCTAGATGGCACAGTATTTTTGTAAAAAAGCACTCGTTCTACAAAGAGCAAAGAATCCAGTAGATCTTTTCTGAGAAGAAAGGGAGGAAAATGGGAGGGATGGTGCCTTTTGAGTTGGTCACCAGAATTCAGGTACAAGCAGGTGTCTGAGGAACATGTTGCACAGGTTTAGGTCTCAATTGTCTCTGAGATGAACACAGAAAGCTAGGCAAAGCCAAGCGAAAAAGAAGCAACTGAACTTTTTCAGCCCTGGGGCCTTCCAACCTCCATTAAACGGGATGAACAGGTCTGCACCTTTGTGCTAAGTTTCAACAAAAAGTCTCTACTCCACTCCTTTCTGGGGTTTTAAAAAAAATCAGATCAGCTTCGCAGACAAGCAGAGGCTGGATTAATGATTAGGAGAAACAAAAAGGATTGAATACCTGACCTGAAAGAACTATACTCTGCAACCAGAACGTCAAGGACATTGTCTCCTCTCCTCTCAAAAGAACTTTACCCAGGGCTAAGGCATTCGGCTTTTATTCAGATTCCCCATTTAGTTCCCTTCCATGCCAGTGGTCTAAACACCAAAGAGAAAAAAAAATAAATGGAGTTTCAGCTCACCTTTTCAAATGTTTGGGGCTCTCAAAATAGCAGTCACCAGGCAGCTCCCACCCCTTGTGGCTGAACCGCGAAGCTTCTTGGGCTGCCTGAGCTCTGACCAACTTCAACTTCAGTGTACAGGTGCCTGGAGGAAGGACGAGGGCATTGGTTGGTCCAGAGCAGGAAACGTGTGACATCACAGGAGCCAGGACAGATAAAGCATTGCTGAGACCTTAGCATGGAGACATTCAGTAGGTCCCGCCCACCTATCATTTACCTGAATACCTGCAAGCAGGTAGGTGGCGTCTCTTGGAGGACAAATGAATCAGTTAGAGCAATTTGCCAGATGGAATTTACTTTCTTTCCTGAGCACAGCACGTGTCCAGCCCCGTGTACAGATATGAACTTAGACGCCTGTTTTTTTTTTTCCCCAAGCCCTCTTCACTCCCCACAGCAGCCAACAGAGAAGTTAAAAAGGAAGTTTAACCCATTAAGTCCCAAGTTTTCAACTCTGCAAACATAATAGTTATTTTGAAGTTAGGATAAGTGGTATATTTGTGGTTTAATTTAAGTTTTTACGGGTGTTCCACACCTGGGATGCTGGGACAAAATGGGTTAAATACTGAAATGAGACAGTGATTTAAAAAAAGAAAGAGAAAGGATATAGAATCCTGAGAAATATCTGAGGTTGAGCCCCCAAAGCCTTTTGGAATGGCATCTATTTAAATCCTGAATGATTCTCTGTTCCAATATCAAGACAAAGTGGAGGTGACATTTCAAATTCATTGCTTAAAAATCGAAATCTGATCATTGTCAGCAGTTCTAAAGTCATTTCCAAACACTTTTTCTCTAAGCCATGCCCCCCTCCCCCGCCCCTCACCTCAAGCACTTCAATTCCATTTGGGGGGAATCTGTAAAACTTCAGTCATTCCTATTTGGGCTTGCTGGGTAGTTATAGTCACACGGTGGTTACAGTTCACTGTAAGCCTGCAATTAGGAGCTTTTGAAATGATTCAGATTTGAATGATAGCGAAGTAATAAGGCGATGTTGTCTGCTGCTAGAGCCAGGAAGGAGGAGTCAGAGTTATTTCGGTCCCAAGCTGTGTGTGACCGTGGGCAAGTCACTGCTGCTTCAGCCTTTCCAACAGGAAAGGGAGGCTAATGCTTGACTCAGCTGGCACCTGAGCGGCAGCCAGGAGGAATCCCCGCTGTTAAGCCCTCTGGCATCTGAAGACGACTGTAAACAATTCCTATCATCCTATTGCATCCTGGCCCATGTCTATGACCGCATCTAGCATCCCCGCACAATTTATTTACTCTCAGGAACGTGCTGCCTGGGGGGACCCGGGGACTCAGCCTCCCTGGAGGATGGTCTGCTTGCCCAGAGAGATTTTACCCCTCCTCCTGATCTTGGAAATGCTTTGCATCCACGTGTTTTAATAGTGTACTACCTAGAGGTTTGGGGGGTTGGTTGGAATTTTACCTGGGGGAGGAGTGAAAGAAGAAGGAAACCTGGGAAGGAGTTTTGATGCCATTCCTGGGTTTCCACCTTGGCTGCAGCCAGTCATTCAACAGCTGATAAAGCAGTGGGGGAGGGGTGCACTAGGAAGAGAAATGCTGGGGAGGGCGCAGGAGGTGTGATGCACCCTAGGCTCTTCACCTGCAGGGAACTGGCTCCCCACCTCCCCAGACAGGCCTAAATTCCTTCTCCACCTGGGAGCTTGGTGCCTGTTGAGGGGAATTGGAAGCTGAAAAAACAGACAGGGGCTGGGGTTGTAACTCAGGGATAGAGTGCTGGCCAAGCACTTGTGATGCACTGGGTTCCATCACCAGCACCACATAAAAATAAATAAGTAAAACAAAGGTATTGTGTCCATCCATAACTAAAAAAAAAAAAAAAAAAAAAAAAAAATTAAACAACAACAACAAACCAAACAAGTTATTCATGACTTTATTAGAAACTAAGGTTAGTTGTGGCTGTGCCTTTAATATGCAAATAAAAACAACCAAGAAAAAGATTGAGGCAGAGAAATTGTTTTGCTTGCAGATCTTTTAAAAAGGGAAAAGTATCAGCCCACCAAAACAAAGAGTTGGTCTTTCCAGTGACCTGGAGTCCCTGGGAACAGAGGGAGGGGTGGGCGAGCTGTCCACCTGCTGAATCATCTAGAAGGACAGGCCTCCAGCAGCCAGTGTGGTGTGGGTCACACTGGGGCTTTTCAGAAGGTTGGGATCTGACCTGGGAGCTGGATACCAGGCTTAGGTTCACAGCACTGGCCGCAGGGAGCAGGGGACGTGAATTTTCAGGAGGCGACAGTGCATAAAACTTCACAGAAAGGACTCAATACTGTGGGGCTTTGCTTACTGGGTACCAAACCCTAGCTGTCTGCATGCATGGTCTGAGGAAAGAAAGAAAGGGAAAAAAGAATGAAAACGGAGAATAAGCGTTAAACTTAGAGTAAAGCTCCCAGGTAGTGTCTAAAGGAAGAGAAAACACTGGGCTGCTTCACACATTAGCCATCTAATAGAATAATCTCAATAGTTATATTTCTAAAGTACTGGGGAAAAGGTGAAAATAATAATCACAAAAGCTAACATTGAGTAAGTGTTTGCCAAGTTCACTTTTGTTCCAAGCACTTTGCTCGGCTGACCGCCTAGATCAGGTCCTAGTGCTACCTACGTTCCGTAGTTAGGGAAACCGAGGCCTGGATAAGCTGAGAATTTGCTTCTAGATGGCTTATTCAGCAAGAGGCAGGGCTGGAGTAGTTTATAACCAGGTCCTTATTAACTGCTGGAAAGAAAGAGGGGAAGGTTCTGGTTGGATGTACACTGGACAAGGTCGGGACCCTCCCTCCTTCAGCCTCTGACCTATCCATTGTTTGGAAAGAGATGTCTTGTAGAAGTAGGCCTGGGAGTGTCCTTTCTAGGAAGAAAGTCTGCAGTTGCAATGCAGTTACAACTAAATTAGTAATCTGCTTTATACATTGAGTGTGTCTGTATAGGACATATATGCATGTGTATACTTATATTTGAGAAACACCATTATCATTCCTGGGAGCATTATTGAAATCTTTTTTTCTTGGTACCAGGGATTAAACTCAAGGGGCACTCAACCACTGAGCCACATCCCCTGCTCCTCCACCCCCAGCCCTCTTTTGTATTTTATTTAGAAACAGAGTCTCACTGAATTGCTAAGTGCCTCCCTGTTGCTGAGGCTGGCTTTGAACTCTCGATCCTCCTGCCTAAACCTCCCAAGCCACTGGGATTACAAACGTGTGCCACTGTGCCTGCCAAAATCATCTTTTTTATGGCCTATCAAACCAACCCTAAGAAGTAAACCCAGTTTGAAGGGTCACTAGAGAATGACCAGTTGTAACTCTCTATAACATCTTTTATTGTCATTTCTCTCTATAATTTTAGCAGCGTCTTTAAAATCTGGAAATTTTGTCAGAACTGCCATAAGATCACTAGACTGCATTCAGTTGAATAATGCGAGACAACGTTAAGCTAAATTCCATTATCAACATTACCAGGCTGAATGGTTTAGCCCAGGGCTGGCAGACCGTAGACACACACTGCTTCATTCCCTCCTCCCCTGCCGCTCTCATTGTCATTGCCAAGGTGCTCTGGATCTCAGAGGTTAGCTCTCAACTTTCCAGCTGCATTTCCAGGCGCAGTAGCAGTTGATATTGACCCCTAAGATCAAGCCATTTACTACCCCTAGTTTGACAGTAAGCGGGAGCGATAAGCCAGAAGGGAAGGCATTGCTGTTGCTGGTGTCATGTTGCTGGTCCATGAGCAGGATCTTGGAGGATGTGGAGAAAGCAGAGACCACAAAGGACTGCAGGCAGAGTCGCAGTGTTCAAGTGGGGGGCTGGAATGATCCAAGCTATGTGTGCGTGGTGGGGAGGAAAGAAAGGTGAGAGGCTGCTGGGCCAAAAGGATCCAGGGCACTGAACTTGGACAGGTGAGATGGGACCAGATTATCAAGAGCCTTGACTGTGGAGTTTCTCATGTCTTTATATTACTCTAGGCTGCTTTTCCCAGGAAGGAGGGAGAAGGAAGGAAGGAAAAGAAGGGTAGATTGATCTTGGGGTGGTTTCTTAAGAACGATGGTGTTTTCAGGGTTGCGCCAACGTCCGTGAGTTTCCATTTCTGCTACCCCATGGTCTTCTCTGTCTTTGCTGCCTCTGTATCTTGGAAGCAGTGTACTTCAGAGAGGCAGGTGGGAAGCATTAGAAAGCTCTCTGTACTCAAGGTTGGGCCCGTCCTACTTAACCAACCAGCTCTCTTGGGCTTTTGGATTAGTTTGAATGCCTTTATGCATCTTGACAGGGAAATGGAAGGGGAGGAGGAGGGCTGATTTCAAAGCTCTTTACTTCTAGATTCCCACAATGAGCATGGGCACCGTCAAGGATTCCTCCTGGCAGTGAACCTACTGCTAAGACCATACCTCGTGATTCAGGAGAATTATGTAGCCTCTGTTTTGCTTCCTCCCCAGGCCCCAGTCTATTTGTAGAGCTGTCTAAGATGACTGAACGCCCCAACAAAAACGAACATACTTCGTCTGATTTTAATAGAAGCCATCTCTAGAAAAAGCCTCAGTTACATAATTTCTGGAGATATTCAGCATTATGAGATGAAATTGCTATATATACATTGCATCACAGAGGCCTCAATTTTGAACCAGCTCAGCTCCAAATCTTTCATTGACTAATTACAAGTGCTTAGCATGATGCAAATGAGCACATCTCAGAAGGGCAATTATGGGAAATAATAGTAGTAATCATAAATATCAGCTGATGTAGGTGCCATCTGGTTGTATGGCAATGGAACATATTCCGTTTCTCTCACAAACTCACAGTGCATGTGTTGCCTGATTTGCACATGTGCCCCTAGAGTACCTCTGGGTCCATAGCTTAGGAGGGGTCTATTGTCTGGTTCGTGTGCTCTTGTGGGGATAGGGAGTATCTCGGAAAATGAGAATTCATTCATTTATTGGAGATGGCATACGTTTGTGAATGTTGACCTTGCAGATTTGTGGCCAGCACACTCTTCTTTAGTAGAGAGGGAAAAAATGTCTTCTTCGTTGCTGTCTCTGTAATCATCATTAGACCTCTATTTTGTGACAGCTGTAAAAGTCTTTATGTCTATATGATCTCCTTCCTGCTATAAACCAGGTGAAATATT